ATCATGGGGAAGTCTTCTTCACTAGAGCTGAGTGGTTCTTCTGCTGCTGTGGTTTGTTTAAATACTGCCACCATATTACTCCCATTGTCTGTTACCACTGTTAGGATCTTTCCTCTTTTTTCCCACTCTTGAAACAATTGTCTAGAAAGGATTTAATTGACTGCTCAGTGTGTGGATGGGCTACTTGTTCAAGGGCCAACAATATGTGTTCAGGTTTATTTTGTTCAACACAAAAGTAGCATGTACTTATAGCAAGGAATGAAGCAGTGAGTCCTTTTTCTGTCCACAAATTAGTGCAAATAAATACTCTCTAGGCATCAGCCAGTCTCTTTTTGAATTCTTGTTTTTCATCTTTATAATGTTTGTCAATCAAATTGTTTATATTAGTTTTCTTTGAGACAGTCAGTTTCCTATCTATCGTCTCCATCATGGTAACAAAGTCCTCATCTCCAAGAGCTTTTGCAACAAGTTGCCATCACTGAGGACACCTGAACAGATTTTTGGCTGGCAAAGAGTACATTTTTTTATCACCAGTTAAAACCTTTTGCATTAGACCTGTTGGCTGTGCCAGCTTCTCAAGTCTTTGCAGAGAGGGTATTCAGTGGTGACCTCTCCAGAGACCAGCAGAATAGAACAAGGGTCATATTGGCGCAAAGTACTTTCATTAAAATGAATCAACCAAATAGAAGTGTTTTATTCTCCAGTTATTTATAACATTGGGAACATACTAAAACGTGTGGGTTGTGCTTTTTGTGAAAAGAAGAATCAATAATTCAACAACAGTTCTAATTGTCAATTAAATGCATAGGAAAAATGCACAGGCTATAAATGCCATTAGTATGTGGAACTATAACAACCATCACTTTTTATCAACCTCTTTCTCTCTTTTAGCATTGACAAATGAGATAATAGAGGTAAATATCACACTAATGAAAAGAAAAATAGATCAGTAATGGTTAATTAGATGCATATTGTTGCTATGAATGCTGTCAATAGCAGTGAATAGTATTTACTGCTATTGACAGCACTTCCTAAACCTATATGCAGGGCCGGATTTATAATTAGGCAGAATAGGCACATGCCTAAGTGCCTTCCATAGTGGTGCGCTATGCAGATGCCTTCTCTGCCTATTTGCTGAGGTGTCTGATGTCCTGTGGTGCATGGACAGAACACCACACACCTGAGCTTATGGTTTCCTGTCCAGGGCATTGTCTAGTGCAGCTTTACTTTGGGGTCCTGCCCCTAGGGGAGTCTTAGTGTGATATTTACCTCTATTGTCAATACTGAGAGAGAGAGGAATTGATACGAAGTAGTGATTGTTATAACCCACACACTAATGGCATTTTAGACTTTTTTTTTAATGTATCTGAGAATTATAACTGTTGAAATAATAAACTATAAACAGTAAACTGATTCTTATTGTAGAAATAAGCATTACCCTCGAGTATTGGTTTATTATGTTGTGACAGTGGCAGTGCCTGTGCTTGTAGCTGCTGAATTTTTTTGTTGTGTTCAGTTACTTGACCTGTTAAAGTTCATGTAAATGTGCATGGTGGCATCACAGGCAAAGAGTTTACATTTTTTAAATGATTATTGTTACACACTTCTGTCAGAAAAAGCAATATTCTTGTAACAAAATGTTGTTTACTTTTAAAGATGTTATATAACAGCTAAATCTGTGTATACAGTAGGTAGTTTTTTCAAACCTTAATAGCATAAATAATAATAATTATTAGATTTGTTTTTTTTTACTCTAGTATCCAGGAGTATATAATGAGTTTTAAAATTCTAGAGAAATGCTTAAATTATGCATTACAATTTAACTAAACCCATTAGATTTTAATCAGCTAAAATGATTTTAGTTGACTAAAATGTACTGGACATTTTAGTTGACTAAAATGTACTGCTGTATCCATTGCACACTCTTGGCAGTCCCCCTTGGTCTCCCTTGATCTCCTGAAGGCTAATTTGACCTGGATAATGGTCAACGAATGTTTGACCGCTATTCTTCAAGACAGGATGGTATATTTTGAAAATACCTGGGATCCTTGGATGCAATATCTTTCAGCATCATCTTAGGATGGAGGATAGTCGACATGGGATGTCGATAAACATTAACCGTCTTGCTCCCTGCACCCGACTGTTGGCCGGACCCTTCTCCAACAAGCGTCCTTTGTTTCTTCCTTTTTTCTTTCCTTTACTTCCCCAATCTCTTTTCTCACTCTTCTCTTTCCATTTTTAACTCGCCTTCTATTTCCCTTCCCTGGTTTTGAACATTAACCAACTAACTATGAGGGGCATATCCCCTTATGGCCTACTGAACATTTGAGGGCGATTGCTGACTTTATACGGGTCGGGGTGGTCTGAGACATTGGACCTGACAAATAGTTTTACATTAGATTCAGTTTGTTTTTTGTTTTTTTCTGTTATCTTGTTGTTGCACATCTTCCATCTACAGGTCCCTAAGGGACCCCTTTGGTCACCATCAACAGATAATTATTTTGAAACATTGTACTTTGCGCAATTCAGATGACTAAAATACAGCTAAAACGGCATTTTAATCGAAAGACTATGACTAAAACTAAATCAAAATTTGACATCAGAATTAACACTGGTAGCCAACAATGTGACTGATAAGCATGTGGTCACAACTTCGATCATAGGCTTTAAGAATCTCCACTGCTAAGGCACACATCAGCAGCATGCACAAATATTTACACATACACACACACACACATACTGTATATATATATATATATATATATATAATAAACCTAATGACATAACACAAATGTGTGGCGCTGGTACTTTAAGTCATACCAACAAATCTCCCCAAAATATTCGTAAAAGTCAACAATAAAAATAAGTGAATCTAACAACTTAACACATTCATATCTTTGTGTCTAAACACAATCATAAAGTTCCTTTGGAACGAAACACGTAGGGTGGAGTCAAGTGGTGACATCATCATGCCTCAGGAATCGACAGGCGATTGTGAAATACTCTATATCTTTACTTGTTTGTGAGCACATTTACATGTTTATTAAGCAGAGTTTGAATGTACTTCATTATTGGGATTCTCCTTGCTCTCTTCCCTCTGTGTGAGTGATTGATGTGGCACCTCGATGAGTGATTTATGTGAAACCCGCACAAGGCTTTTTGGAAGCCAGATGTGATAGGCCTGGGACTGAAAGTCGTCACCATCCATCCATTGGGGTCTATCCATAAGCACTGTTAGACCTCTATGCATCTGAGGTCTAGCTCTCTGGTAGGCAGTGGTGTGGATCTTTGGTGGCTGGCACATAGCCGTGGTGTGTTTTAAGAAGAATCATTCACACTGTTTGGTCATAAAGAAAAAGTCCAGGAAGTGATGAAACGCGTCGGGACATGTGACGACTGACGCACTTACGGTTTATCGGAAGTACGATCGCGGCCATCTTTGTTTAGGGAACATGCTGTTTCTGCCAGGATAGGACCTTATTGGATTACCTCAGATGTTGGAAACAGTTTGTTGGAGTTTTTAATGTAAGTTGATGAATAAAGTGTTATATCTGAGTATTTAAAAGCTTCTAAATATCTGATTTGCCTTATGAGGAATATGGGAACACGCTAACAGGATTATAAAGGAGCCTGGAGGTCTCAGTATCTACTGTGTGGGAAAAGCCTGACATTACCTACATAGGGTAATTACCCATTGTTGCACCAGTTGGAGTGTTTTCACTTGAGTTGCACATTTTGGAGTTCACTATTTGGTTATGTATATTTAATTTTTGCAGTGAATGAGCTCACTATCACATTAAGTAGAGAACACGGTCATTGTGGTTTGGAGTGTTCACTTTTTGTTCATGTGTGATAACAAGCAATATTTTTTTTGGATTATCTATATTAATTTTGTGTATATATATATATATATTTTATCATCTTTTTTTTTGTTTTTGCACGTTTTTGTACACATGATATGCAGTGTGCATGACACATTAATTTTTGCACTAGTGTTTGTTTTAAAAGGTAATACACTATTTCCAGTTTATATTTTTTTTGAGGTTCATGAACATTGGAATACAACATGTTGGATTATCATATACAATATAACACGATGTGATGTGGAGGAGGAAAAGAAAGTGATTTGAACATTTGGAGATTTGAGAGACATTTTTGGGACTGTACATAAATTTATGTTCTTTTTTATTTTCTTTATTTATTTTCTTTATTTAATTTATTTATTTGAAGTGTAGATATTAGGATCGGGTTAGAGTGTTGCTGAGAGAAGAGCTTACACATTGTATTACTTTCAAGGGTGAAAGTTTTCTTCTTTTCTTTTGGGATAGGAGTGTTATTATTTAATTGGAAGTGTGCACAGCTATTGGTTTTTGTAGCATGAAAGTTGCACCTGAATGTTTTATATTCTATTGTTTTTTTTCTTTTCTACTCTATTCTATTCTTTTCTATTCTTTTTGTATTCTATTCTATGCGATTCTAATCTATAATATTCTATTATTTTATGTTCTATTCTATTATTTTTTTAATTCAAATTCAAGTCGAATTCGATTAAAATTTTAACTGAATTTCATTTCGTTATTTTGAATTTGTTACTATTGTAATTTGGAAATCTGGATACATACGCATTTCTGAATAACCAAACATTTGTACGAATTTCAATTCAGAAAGAAACGAACCTCACATGTCTAATAACAAACATGATATACTTACTTGCTCTATGCAATGGTTTTGCACAGATCAGCCCCAATCCTCTTCTTTTTGAGTCCCCCACTGGTGGTCCTAGCTCCTCCCTGCTGCCGAATTTCCCTAATAGCCATCCTCTTGCTATGGTGGCACTCAAGCAGGCTCGTTACTGAGCCGCACTCCCATGAATGGACATTTTCCATTTACACAGTTAGAGTGCCTTGGCCTCACCCCCTACTCTCTCCTCATTGTCTCACTGACTTTGATTGACAGCTGCAGCAGCCAATGGCTCTAATAGTATTAGAAATATTACCTACCTCTGGAATTACAACAAGTCCAATTATTAGGCCAAAGAGAACTAGATTCACACCATACATCCATCTTAAGAATATAAAATAGGAGGCAACAGATGATCCAAAGTGACCTGAAACAGAAGAGAATTACAATTGTTCTTTTACTATGAAATACAAAGTGAAGAAACAGCCCATGCACAATCCTCTCATTTACAGAATATTGCGTATGCTGACTTTTCTTGATTGAGTGGAATGTTATGCAACCTTTTACTGAATCTGCACCTTTTCACAGAGCGCATGTCACTAGCAGTGCCAGGACAAAGTCATCTAGTGTCCAGGGCAACGATGACAAACTGCACCCCCTTTTACCCTTGATGTATGAGCATCACGTCTCAGCAAAAATCTCCTCCTTCCCACCCCCAAAATCCTGCACTAATCTGCACACTCACCTCCCCTAAGAATAAATTCTATCTGCAAACCAAATTTCCCCCTATACAAAAATACAAAAATCCCCCCCTCTCCCAGTATAAATCCCCTCTCCCAGTACAATTCACCCCACCCACAAAAAAAAAATCACCCCTCCTAGGAAAAATCACCCCTCACAGAAGAAATCCAAAACTTCAGCTCTCCCCCCCACATCCCCCTCCTAACACAAATCTGAAATACTATTTCCATAACTCTCTAGAACATTCCAGAACTTTCTGCTAAATGTTTAAAGAACATTCTAGAAATGTTCTAGAACTCCCTGGAAGATTCTGGAACATTCTAGAACTTTCCTTAATCTTCTTTCCAGAACGTTCTTGAACTTTGTACAATATACTTTCTTGAACTTTATGTAACAGTCTAGAATTCTCCACAGTATTCTTTCCAGAACTTTCTAGAATGCTCCCCAATATTCTTTCTAAAACATTTTACAACATTGTAGGACTTTTGAACTTTTGCAAGAGATGGTCAGAGAGTGCAGACATACTGCAGGAGATGGACAGAGACTGCATCCATGCTTTTGAATTTGTTAAAGACATTTTTCAGGAGAAACTCACATTACAGGTAACTGCCAGAGATCAATGGAATAGAGAAATAAAGACTACTGTCTACAGGGTCTCCTGGGGCACACAAAAAGTGGACTCCAGAGCCACACCCATGATGACTACTGTGCTTGCCCACCACCCGTCATTCCCTACCTGGAAATGCTTTTATGCACCTGGCCACATCTCTTGCCCACCTACCACTGCTTTCTCTGTAGAGATTTCCCTGAATAGATAAATTTCCTTCCCACCCATCACACACATGCCCACCCTCCTGTCCAACTATCACCGTCTTCCCTGCCCACCCACAACTTGCCTTCCCTGTAGAGATATATCTCCTATTTATCCACCATCATCTTCCCCGTAGAAATAAATCTCTACTCACCTTGCACCACATTCCCTGTAGAGAGACATCTCTTGCTTATCCACCACTTCCTTCCCTATAGAGATACTTTCTAGAACTTTCTGCAATATTCTTTCCAGAACATCCCACCCACCACCGCCTTCTTTGTAGAGATACGCTCCCCACCACCAGCTCCACTGGTTTGGTGCTGGTCTAAAATATGCAGACAGAATACTTTAGGACTATGAAGATCAAGGAGGATGGGTTGTTGAATTTAGTAAGGAGAAGGACCCAACAATGCTACGCATCCTCGGGTTTGCTTGCATAGGATGCTGATTATTAACATTATTCATAAACTATTCTGTCTTCAGCTTCTTTCAGTTGTCGGTTAGCTGCTTAAAACAGGTAAAAGAATGATGTGGCTCTGAAATGCTAAAGCCATTGTGAGAATCATGTGTTGATCTGGAATATCTATAGACATTAAATAGTTGGTAGTAAGCTTCAAAATCTGTCAAAAAAATAGGCGAGCCAACCAAAAAGGAACTAATAACAGACATACTTGAATTTCTGCGGCATATTCTAGCTATTAAAATATATGATTTCAAGGGATGAACAATCTTTCTGAAAATATTTGCCCTAAGACAACTTAACAGAACATCTTAAGTTGCTGAGACAACGACCACCTTTGCAGTTTGGTGCCTGCAGGAGAGCCACCCTGGAAAGACTTACTAAACTTTAGAATTACTTAAATTAAGTGAGCCATTTTCATATTCTTCAGGTTAACATGAAGGATGTAATACACTGGGCTGCCACTTTAAATTTTAGCAACCTTTAGGTTACATTGTTAGTTGTTACAGCTTGTTTCTGATGCTGGACCATGTTGAAACTCCAACTCTCCGTTGAAACAGTTATATCTTCTGCTCGTTCAGCTGTGTGTGAAATATGAGCTTTCTATTAAGCTCTGCAATCAACATTAATCAATTATTTTAGTAAATCTAAACTGCTAAATACCTTTTCTCATCAGCAGTTAGTGCAGTCTTGTGACTTCTATTAGTATCCAGCAGAGCACTGGTTAAAGCTTGTAGGAGGAGTTTTCATTCTCCCCTGTTTGTCCTGCTGTGGCTACATAACCCCTGACCCTCTGTCTGGACAGCGCTGATTGGCCCTGTGCTGATCACATACTCTCTCCAAAGAAAAGAAAAAACTCTCTAGCAATACACACCATACTGAGCTTGCCCCTAACACTCTGTTCTATCAGAAGATGGATTGGGGACAATAGGAGAAGGGGAGGATCAAAGAAAACATGATCAAACATCCTTTTTACAAAAAGCAGATGATTAACCCTTTAGACTCCACAGTGAGTATAACAAGCATGACTTACTGCATATACAGACTTATTTTACTTTAAGGGTTATAGAATGCCATCTGCTGGTTTTAAAGCATACCCTGCATTAGAATATGAGGTCCATGTAATGTATGGGGGGGGGGCTCCCCCAGGGGCGGACTGACCATTTGGAAACTCGGGCACTGCCCGAGGGCCCGGGGTCAGTAGGGGGCCCCATGAGATGCCCCTGGTACCATTGTCATAGGCTTTTTTGAGTTTGGGCAAGGACACAGGGGCCCCATGATCCCATATTGCCCGGGGGCCCCATGAGTTGTCAGTCCGCCCCTGGACTCCCCCATCATGAATAGCTGCTTTAAAGATGGAAAATAATACCTGTTAGATATGCAATTACTTATCTTTTCCCCAACTTTTGTACAGCACAAGGTGACATCACTATCCTTTCAGCAAGATCCCCAAAGTTTGCAAATTTCACAAAAAACACCCCTGCCCAGTGCATCAGCATATAAGAGATCTACGGTACTCAGTGTTCCCTCAGATCTTGCTGGAAGGATAATGATGTCACCCTTGCCTATCCAACACAGGTGGAAGCCAGAAGTAGGTAAGTACTGTATGTTTAATATTTTAATTTCCTACAGGTTTTTTTTTAACTTCAAAGCAACTATTTATTATAGAGGAGATTTATTAAATAATTTCACTTTTATCATAAAAATGACAACAAATGTACCTATAGAAATTTTAGTGATGGTGATCTAAAAACAGATACTTAATGGGTAAGTTCACCTTTGGGAAATGTTACATGTTCCACCTGTTTTTAGGGTGGAACATGTAACATGCTCCCAATCCTGCAGCCACCACCCCCCTCTACCTGTGACAGAAGTATGGGGAGAAGTTCCCTGTACTAGCTGTCACTTATCAAAAACAGCGTGGCTACGTGGGGCTCCGTTCACACGGTCGCTTAATTCATTTAGCCTTAGCAGCTGTCGGCTTGTAGTCCTCAATTAACTACCATGGCACCGTGAGCGCTGTGGTAGTCCATTGATTCTTCCTGTCAGAAGTATCTGCTTGCTCATACGGGATGTTAACAGTCTGCAGTAGACCTGCATGGCATCAGCGATCTGCTGATCACTGGAGCAATGTTTTACAGGTTCCTAACACAAAAAAATAATAAATGCACTTGTTTTATCTGCAATAAAAAGGGCATTTATTATATTTTGTGGAAAGTTGAACTTATCATTTAAAGATAATTGGAGGCTTTTTATTCTTAGTATTCTTTATTTTTCTTTTCTTCCCCATTCTTCTCATGGTGGCCATTTTCACTAAGGGCAGATGAATCCATCTCCCTTATGTAGCTACTTATTAACTACCATGGCACCGTATATCCATACAGTATATCCAGCACATTCCCCACATATCTAGAAAAGAGACATGCCCCATATATCCAGCAAAGAGACATCCCCCATATATTCAGCAAAGAGACATGCCCCATATATTTACCAAACAGACATCCCCTATATATGCGGCAAAGAGATATGCCACATATATTTAGCAAAGAGACATGCCCCATATATCCAGCAAAGAGGCATGCCCCGTATATTTAGCAAAGAGACATCGCTCATATATCCAGCAAAGAGACATCCCCCATATATCCAGCAAAAAGATATGCCCCATATATCCTGCAAGGAGACATGCGCCATATATCCTGCAAGGAGACATGCGCCATATATCCTGCAAGGAGACATGCCCCATATATCCAGCAAGGCGACATCCCCCATATATCCAGCAAAGAGACTTACCCCTAATATCCAGCAAAGAGCCATTCCCAAATATCCAGTAAAGAGTCATCCCCATATATCCAGCTAACAGACAGCCCAATCCAGCTAAGAGACAGTCCAATCCAGCTAAGAGACAGTCCCAGCTAAAAGACAGTCCAATCAAGCTAAGAGACAATCCAATCCAGCTAAGAGGCAGCCCAATCCAGCTAAGATACAGTCCCAGTTAAGAGACAGCCCAGTCCAGCTAAGAGATAGCCCAATCCAGCTAAGAGACAGTCCCAGCTAAGAGACAGCCCCAGTCCAGCTAAGAGACAGCCCAATCCAGCTAAGAGACAGTCCCAGCTAAGAGACAGCCAAGTCCAGCTAAGAGACAGTCCAATCCAGCAGGGATTCCATTTATGGAAACAAATAGATACAATGTTTCAACCGCTGTATGGAGCGAATGTCAGAAAACTGTCAGAAATAGCCTATTTCTGACAGTTCTCTGACATTCACTCCATACAGCGGTTGAAACATTGTATCTATTTGTTTCCATTTATGGAAACAAATAGATACAATGTTTCAACCGGTGTATGGAGTGAATGTCAGAGAACTGTCAGAAATAGCGGAGCTCTGCAGATACACTTAGCGGAGCTCTGCAGATACA